GCCCGGCAGGAGGTGGGGAAGGGCCTTGGGGAGGCAGGCTGGGGGTCCCGCCGCCCCCGATGGGGACTGTGTGCGCTGCGCAGAGCGCCAGGCGGGAGCATCTGTTGGGCCAGGCAGGACGCTGAGGGAGGGCATGGGGCCGCAGCCAGGAAGAGCCGGAAGAGGCTGCAAGAGTGTGGAGAGCGACTGGGCACCTTCAGAATCTAACCTGGTCTGGTGGCCGAGGCAGGGACAGCAAGGGGACACGGCTGGGCGCCACTGGGAAAGCCTGTGGGTTGGGTGCGGCCACCGGCTCCTCCAGCTGGGCGGGGTGGGTCCGACTGAGCTGCAGCCGCCCTGGGCTGCTGTTAGATAGAACTACGAGACCCTGAGGGCTTTCCCCCATCTCCGTTGCCTCTATTGCCTCTATTCTGCTGTCCAGTGCCTCGGTGGCCCCTGGAGCCCATGACCAGGCCAGCCCTCCCTCTGAGGCCCCTGCCTGCTGGGGGCCTGTCCCTGCAGGCAGCCCCCAGGAGAGCGCTGGGTGGAGGATAAGCCAGCCCTCCCTTAGCCCTTCTGGGTGCATCTGCCAGAGACACTGGAGAGATTCCTGGGAAGGTAAACAGTATCTGCTTTGCTGACAAACTCACATCCCCTCCAGGGTTCCTTCCTGGCCTAGAGCTGAGTCTAGCTGTCCTTGTTTCTCCAGGTGCACGATGGATTTTGCTGCTCTAGTCAGTGAACTCACCCAGACCCCTGTGCCAGGACCTGATGTCTAGGTCAAGAGGCTAGCGTCAGCTGTCAGCTGCCCTTGAACCTCATTAGCCTGGCCCTTCCCCAGGCCCAGAGCTGACTGAATGTAATTAGCAACTAATTGGGTGTCTGTTAGCCCCTCTGCATAAGAAACATCAAGATCAAGTGTAGGCAGTGGATGTGTGGATTCATTCTTTTCTTCCAGACATGGCACTTCTTCTGTGTGGAGGGTATGAAGAAGAGCCATTCATTCATTCAGTCAGTCAGTCAACAAATATTGACTGCAAAAATGCAGGTGACCCATGATTTCAGAGTGATAAGTGCTGTAAAAACAAAACAGAGTGGTGGTGGGCAGAGAACTTGGCTCTCAGCTGGAAAAGGCAGCAGGCAGACCTGAGGGAGGAGGGAAGACGGCACCGTTTCAGGCCCAAAGCTCTGGGCACAGGGTGGGATGTCCTTGTTACTGTGAGCAGGACTTAGGGGCTTCGCAACCCATCAGTGAGCGATGGAGGGCGGATGAGTGGTGAGCTGTCCCTCTCTGAGTCCTGAGAGTGCATTTCTTGCTGGGAAGCTTAGTCTGAGATTTAAGGTTCCCCAGAAGACATGCTCTGTGTCTCCTTGTTCATTTGTTCATTCATTCATTCATTCATTCATTCATTCATTCAACAAGTACTCCTGAAGGCCTGTATGTTCCAGGCACTGTTCTAGGTGTTAAGGATGCAGCAGTGAAGCGGGCAGAGCTTATTTTCTGGTGGGAAAATGGCAACAAATAAGAACAGCAATTTTAATGTCAACTCAGATGAATCCTATGGAGCAAAGCAGAGCAGCGTAAGCGTGGTGGGGGCTGCTGTGTTTAGTAGAGACGCCAGGACAGGCAGTACCGAGGGGATGAAATTTGAACGGAGACCTGAGTGTAGACAAGACACAGTCATGTGACTCTCTGGGGGAAGGACATTTCAGGCAGAACGGCACATGCTAAGGCCCTGAGGTGTGAAGGAGGTGTGAGCCTGCTGGCATGCTGGCCGTGCTGAGGAGCAGGACAGAGGCCAGCAGGCCTCTCAGAGCCTTTCCTTCAAGGTCGGGGTGCAGAGGGGTCAGCCTGATGACCAGAGGCACCCGAGAAAGCAGATGTTGTTCTCAAACAAACCCAGGGTGAGGCTTGGGACAGAAGGTCACTAGAGATGGAGAGTGTGTATCTGGGCAGGAGGCGGATCACTTGCTTTCCCCACCCCCAGCTTTCACCCAAACATCACGGGCCACACAGACAACCAAACTGGGGAGCAGACCGAGTTTTTCAAATCAGTAAGGACTCTGGAAACTGGAAATGGGGGGTGGGGTGGGGAACTGTTGCCTTCTAGGAAAATTCCAATAACCTTTCATTGTTGAACTAACTAGGTGATCTCATGAGTTGGCTTAAAAAGGCAAACAGGAGAGTATATAACAACGGACGTTTATTGAGCATGCACTGTGTGCCAGACACGCATGCCCCTCACAGCGAGTCTGTGCAGGGTGTACTCCCATTGCCCCTGTTTCACAGATGAGAAAACTGAGGCCCAGTGAGTAAGACAGCTGCCCATCTTGAGACAGCTGGTGAGTGTGGAAGTCTGGGTTACCGTCGAGTGGTGCAATTTTAGAGCCCTGTGCTTTGAGAGAGATGTTTGGCTGCCCAGATGCTTGTCATAGTGGAGATGCTTGTCTTACCAGCAGGGTGGTTAGAGCAAGCATGTCAAACTCGCGGCCTCAGGGCCGCATGCAGCCCACAACGAATATTTTTGTGGCCCAGCCAATATAACGGTGTGAGTCATTATTTACAATTATGAAAGGAAATAAGTCTCCTGTCAGATCCAGAATTACTGACACTCACCTTGGGCCAGTTTTGAAAGTAATCACTGTGAACACGATTTCCCCTGAAATAGGAAAGATGGTAGCAGAAAAGAGATGCCAAGTGTCAGGAAGAAAACATTAATTTTATCATTGCTCTTGTTGTTGTTTTTTATACTATACTTTTCTAAATAAACCTACGTTTCTATGAAAATGGAAGCTTTTGTTTTTTTGCGGCCCACATAAACTTCAACCTTGTTTATTTGGGCCGTGTTAGCCTTTGAGTTTGACATGCTATGAGCCCACTCCACTACTTCCCTTCTTTTTAAGGCAATGTTTGCATGGGTTAAATTTTCTTTAAAAAATATTTTTAAAGGTAATACTTGCAGGTGTTGAAAATATTTTTCAACTGTTAATCCAAACAGCCCTTCAAGTAGCAGTGAAACACCTCCCCCCGTCTCCTGCCCTCTGATGCCAGTTCTCTTCAGTTTCTTGAGGATACGTCTGGAGAGAGAGGTTCTGCTCATGAACAAGCATATGCAGTGTGTGTATACCTCCTCTTTCTCTCTTTTTTTTTTTTTACCAAATTATAATAATCTCAGGTCTGTACTTTTAAAAACTTCATTATACTTACTGTTCTGCGTCAGGACATACAAAGGTCCTCCATCCTGGTTGAATATCTCACAGAGGGGAGGTCCCACGTGTACCTAGTGGTCTTTTCTGGCTTTCTGGGTTGTTTTACCTGTTTTTGTTTGTTAGTTTGCAGTGACAGACAGTCAGGTATGAACATACTTGTGCCTACATATTTACTTACTTCTGCGTCTGTTTCAGTAGAAGAAATTCCTAAACGTGGACTCACTGGTTGAAAATCCCCATGTGTTTAGATTTCGGCCGCTGCTGCCAGCCTGGAGACTTAGCTCTGAGACTGCGTCTTCGCAGCTCCATCAGTCGGTGTGTTAGCAACTTTCTTTCTTGCTAATTTTACAGGAAAAAGAAGTGGCATCACGTTGTGGTTTAATAGGGGTTTCCTGGTGAGTTGTGTTGCGAGTCTCTCATATGGTTTAAGCTATTTGTCTTTCTCTTTCTGTGGACTGTTCATGTCCTGGCCTGTGGTCTAAATTTGATTGTTGTCTTGTTTTTGTTATTGAATTATAATCTCTCATCTCTAGTTCCACTGACTGCCCTCACCACCTTCCCCTACCGCCGAGAGCAGCTGCCACTGTGATGTATTTATGGTATGTTTATCCTTAGATCTGGGTGTATTTTAGAGAAAATATGGTGTTGATTTGTATGTACATGTATTTTAAACTACATATACTGCATTGTGCCACAAATCATGATCCTTTTACTTCTTAAACCTGATACTGTGTTTTTAGGAAGATCTCTGACCACCATGTGAACTCGGTGTCTGCAGAGTTCCATGACTGGAATTATTGTGGAATCATCGTAAGCGCTGGTTCTTCTTGGCTGTGTGTAGGAAGGTTGTTCGGAGAAATGGCATTTTGGGCGTGTGCCTTGGAGGATGAAGAGGAGTTGATAGATGAGCAGGAGGATGGGGAAGGGAACAGCACTGAGCAAGAGGCAGCATAGGACACGCCGACATGTGAAAGTACTGGGAACATTCAGGGAAGCCCCAAGGCTACTGGGGTGGAGTTCAGGGGCGGTGTGTAGTCCCAGGAGAGGCTGGGGGTTTCAAATGCCAGGGCTGGGCTTTCCCTACAGGCCACAGGGTGAGGCAGTGGAGTGGGAGTCAGTTGGTAAGGTTTTCAAGAGCAGAAGTGATCTCTGGAACCGGAGTGGGCTGTGGACATCGACGTGAGAGGCAGGAGGCCCCTGCAGTGCTGCAGACAGGAGAGGACGGGCTCTGTGTGAGAGTGGAGCAGCTGCGGAAGGAGAAACAGAGGCCTGGGCACCAGAGGAGGCATGAGGGGCCTAGGCTGGTGTCCAGGCTGCTCACTTAGGAAACCAGGAGGATGTGGTGTCACAAGCAGGGCCCAGGACGGGTAGGCTGGGCCCAGGGTTCATTCCTGGGCATATGGCTGTGCTGTCAGCCACGCTGTCAAATTTAAAGGCCAGCTCCTCCAAGCTGGGGAGGGGTTTGTGACAGCTCAGTGAGTGAGTAGGTGGGAGGTGAAGGTGTGGGAGTGGGTGAGGTCGCCAGGGAGAGTGAGGAAGGCAGGCGAGAGCCTGGGGCAGGCAGGCAGGCAGGCAGGGAGAAGTATGCAGGGAGAAGTGGACAGACAGGCCCAGCCAGCCGGGAGCTGGGTGCACTTTCGAACTCTGTCCTTTGCTGGCCAGACGAGCTTGGGAAGGCATCCTTTCAGGAGGGAGCGTGGGCAGGGGTCGGGGGTCGGGGACGGTCATAAACAAGGAGCCCAAGAAGGGGTCCCTGCTCTCCTGGCATCTCTCAGTGGGGCTTTGGAGGGTGCATAGGAGTGCGGAGGCAGACAGGAGGGACTGGGCCCCCGAAGCACAGGTAAGTGTAAGGGGCTTTCTTCCCCGGGAGCTGGGCCTCCCCACCCGTTCAGCCTGTGGGTGACTGTAGGCCAGGGGTCCTCAAACTTTTTAAACAGGGGGCCGGGAGCTGGGCTGCCCCACCCGTTCAGCCTGTGGGTGACTATAGAGTATAGCTATGCATGGGCTCCTGTGGCACAGACCAGGCCCTGGGCCCAGGGCTTTGCTGCTACAGGCAGGGTGCGTGTGGGCACCCCCCAGGGGAATACGCAGCCTGTCAGGTGACCCAGGAAATGCCCTGCTCTGAGCCCGGTCTTCCTCCTTCGCTGTCGCTGTGCTGGCCAGTGTACCCGCTCTGTTCCCGTAGCACCCGAGCCTCCCTTGCCTGTGTAGTGGGAGCCTGACGCCCCGCCCTGCACCTCCTGGCAGGTCTCAGCTCATGAGCATTGTTAGGAAGCGTTCATCCTCCAAAGGAACAAATGCTTGTCACTGTTTGTGACTACTTTTCCACCTGTACTACTTTATGTGTTTATTTTTAGAAAAGCAAGCAAGAATCTACTAGTATTGACTGCAGCCAAAATATACTTAGGAGAGTGAAACCAGGAAGGGCATAGAAGAAGCAGCAGAAGAGCCCAGGCTGGGCTGCCCGGGCTCACTGGGAAGTCAGAAAAAAGGGGGCCTGGGAGACAGGTTCAGGGGTGAGCCTGGGGTGAGCTGCCACTGTCCACTGCTCCCCTGGCTATAACTCTCCTGGGGTTCCTTAGAGGTTAGGGGATACATGCCAGGGAGTGGGAGCAGGGAATGGCACCGGTGTGCTCCCTGGAGGGAGAGCACCTATATTATTTTATTTAATATTTGTCCTTGAAAAAAATATGTAAAGCAGGTATTACCTACTTTAGCATGATTCTAAGCAATAACATCTGTGAAATCATAGGTTTGCTATATCAATTATTCTTAATGCAATTCAGGTAAATGCTTAACTATTTAAAATGTTAATTCTGTGTCCGCTTACCCACTTATGCAAACCTCGTCTTAGATCTGAGGAGGCGGGAGGAGATACTCGGTACTATGTAGGAGAGGGAAAATACTACCTCTGCCCTGTTTGATTCAGTGACGGGCCTGACCAAGGACAGATGAACAGTAGAAAAGACTTACTGGCATGCACACGGGACCCATCAAAGCCACAGCTGGCTTGTTAAAGTTAAAGGCCTCTACAGTAAACCCTCATTTTGCAGACAATGATTTGATGGACTTCAGATTTAACGGACAGAATTCCTGATCCATATATCATACTTGAAAATTAACACCCTGTTAATTTTAAAATGCCTTTAACCAAGATTTGCTTATAATCCAATTAACAAGTTGTTTTTGTTATTAATTCACTATTATTTTAAACAAATTTTACCGAATAGGCCATATGTTGGAAAAGACACTACAGTAATTTCGCCGACATAAGTGATTATTACATATCCACAACTATATCTACATATTTAAATCCCAGAGTCACCGCCCGTAAATAGCGTTTGGTGAATGATCAGCACGTGATCCCACGGAGTGCGTGTGACCTGCTGCAGCGGTTTCAACTGCGCGGGAGGTTCCCACGTGCACCGAGCCACGCCCATCGCGCCAGTCGCCTGCTGTTTATTCGGGTGACCGGTGAATGCACGCATTTACTAGGCCTGTTCAGTATACATTTAAAACGACAGTAATACATATAGGAAACTTCTCTGTGAAATTGAACTTTTCATACATACTGAATTTTAACCACACAAACGTGTCTACATGAGTAAAACACAGGCAAACTAATTTGATGACTTTTTAGCATATGCCTTTGGCAAACCTACTTCATTGGGCTTTCGGCTTTAAGGGACATCCGCAGGCTGAGTTAGCCCAGTAGAGCGAGGTTTTACTGTTTACTTAGTAGGGGAAATGGAGGGGAGAGAAGGCTCCTATGGGAAGGCAAATAGGTTTCTGTAGGACACACAACTGGGTGTTAGAACAAATGGAAGGTGAGAAAGCCTGTGGTAAAGTTTGGTTTTAGGAGCTGAGTGGTCTGGCTGTCGTGGGGGCCGTAATCCCTCCCGGAGAAGGGTGGGTGGGTCTCACTGAGACCCATGGGAGCCGAGCTCCTGCAGGAGGAATTACGAAGCCGAAGCCGCTGTTTCCATCAGATAAGGGGAGCTCTGAGGAGGCTGCTTGCTGCATCTGTGAAATCTCAAATGTCTTTACCTTAAACAATAATCTTCATACCAACTGTGGAGGCCAGGCGGGTCCCACACCAGCAGGAAAGAGGCCCCATGGCAGCCACCTGAGAGGTGGTCACCCCAGGTGCAGACCCTCCTCCCCGCCCTCTGCCCCACGGAGCTCAGCCTTCACAGGCAAGGACAGAGGTCGGCAAAGAACCTTCCAGCTGTTAAAGTGAACAAAAATATTCAATCGTGATGTCACTCAACAAATTTAATTTTCTAATACTTTTATTATTTCTGCTGATGATCAACAGGATCCATATTTATTTTAAAAAATTAGATACATGCCAAAAAGCATAAAGAACTTAACCATGTGCACCATACCACACACGGACAGATAGCCACCATCGACCAATGTGTTGGCATTTTCTTGTCTAAATACACAAACAAGTTTTTAAATACTGAGCTTATAGTGAGTATATAAACAGTTTTCTTACTTGGTGATATACTGTGAACATCTTTCCACTTCATTAAATACTCTACAGAAACGAGATAGTCACAGGCTGCCGAGGTTCACCATCTGGCCCGATGGCTTTGCCACCATCTACTTATCCAGGCCCCGATTGGGGATGTTGACGGGGGAGCGTTCTTGCCGTAAAGTAACTGCATGCACATGTGCTTCACCAGATGTTTTGCAAGTGTCTTCTGGGTGCCCAGGGGGCTTGGGGACAGAGGTGAGTGACGGTGGAGTCCTAGTCACTGCTACTTGAGGACAGATCCATGACAAGTGGCCTGGGAGTGAGGCCGGGCCAGGGAGCCCTGGCCTGGGCGTCTGTCCACGGCAGAGGAGGGATAGTCTTGGAAGGGTTCTGTGCCTGCCAGGGATTGGGCAACCAGGTCCAAGAAATACCAGTGTGTCAGTCACTTCCGCAATCACTCTCTGCCTGCTCCAGGAAGCCCAGGCCTCACCAGGGCTAGCGCCCTTGCCTGACACGACTCCCTCCCACTCTAAGACCACAGGCATTGGGGGCGCCTTTGACTCAGGCCATGGGCTCAGTCACTGACACCCTCACTTAGCCCTACCTCCCAGCTCTGCTGCATCCCCAGGGAGCCCACAGTCCATCTGGGCACGGGATGGTAACCTCTGACCTGGCAAAGGGATGTTGGGAGGCAGGTGTCTGCCTGTCTGTTCTCCCCGAGGCCAGAGAGCTGGAAGGGATGGGCTTTTTCTGGAGGCAGCAGCGTGTGTCTGCCCTACGCCAAGGCCTCCCACACATTCAGGGATACGGGGCGGAGGGGGGGCATCGAGGTGCTGCTGGCCTAGTTGTCACCCTGCCCGGGAACTGGTGCCCTTGGAAGGATTGAAGTAAGCTCTGTCGGCTTCGAGGTTTTAAGCTGTGAGTTGGGAGAAGGGAGTTCAGGCCCCACTGTCAGCAGCGCTGTTGACTTGGAAAGGCCTGCTCCTCACCTGTAGGCTGCAGAGGGGAACGTGTAGCAGAACATGTATTTGCCGGGTTCGGCAGCCCTGGGTTCCAGTGCAGCCAGCTGCTCTGACCTCATCCGTGTGTAGCATGGGGGTAATGACATCCACCCCGCCCGGACTCACAGGGTCAGAGATGCTGCTTGTAAAGGGCGTGGTGCGGGCCACTCAGCACCTAGGGGCCTCAGTCAAGGGCAGGTACCAGCCAGGTGCCCGTTCCCTTCCTTTGCTGCCCCTTGGAGGGCAGAGCTGGTGCTGAAGTCCCCAGAGCTGCTCTCCTGGGGTAGGCTCTGCTCGCTGTGCTCTCAGTTCCGAAGTGCCACCTCCCCACCTGTGCTGAGTGGCTTCCTCTGTGGGCAAACAGGAAGTTGCTTACCTCGAGGGAGGCAGGAAGGGCTGCCTGGCAGGGCTGCCTGCCCACAGCTGTGGTCATGTCCGGAGACTGGGTGTCCTCTGGGCCCTGGGGGATGGTGGGGGATGGTGGCTGGGTAGGGAACCCAGGAGTGAGGGGGATTGCAGGGGACCAAACTCAATGTTGGCAGGGGCTCTGGGGCACATGCCAGTTTCCCCTGCTGTGCCCTCACTGGGGCCACACGCCCTCCGTCCTTGCTGGCACCAGGGGTCCCCACTCCGAGTTGCCCCTTGCAGTCTGGGGAAGGAGATGGAAGTCCTAGGACATGGAGCAGAGCGGGTGGCTACAGGAGTCAGGGAGTCTCTTGAAGTTTGCTGCTCGCAGGAGCACCCGCTAGCCATGACCCAAGGCCCCACACACAGACACCCTCACATACAAGACAGGCAGCTTGGAGGAGAGGGAGAGGCCGTCTCCCCTCCCCTTGGGTGGGGCTGGAGGTGGGCAGGGAGGAGGAGAGGAGAGTGGACTCACCGTGGGCTTGAGGCCCTGCACAACTAGGGTGAGCCAGTCAGCCCTGGCGCCCGGATGTTCACAGTGAAGGGGAGGAGATGACCATTGGTCCCTCCTGCTCAGCCCCATTCCAGCCGCAGGGAGGTGAGGGCCACCAGGCAGGTGGAGAGGCTGGCCCTGTCCTCCCCTCAGGGCCACCTGGCTCCTGTCCCATTGCCTATACCCTCCTTCCCCGCTGGTCGGTGCCCTCCCCGTGGCCACATCCGGCGGTCACTTTACTGCGTATGCATCTCCCCGGCCTTTGCAGCGGCGTTCGATAGAGCCGACCACTTCCTTTCCTAAAGTCCTCTCCTCTCTCGTCCACTGTGACAGCATTGCTTATGCTTTCTCACCTCCTTAACAGTGCGGCCCTCCCCCGCGGGCCCCGGCCCCGCACGGACCCACGTCCTGCTGGTCACACACGCTGCTCTCTCCACTCCCGGTGTGTTTTTCCATTGCCTGTTTGAGTAGTTCACAGATTCACAAGCCTAATATTTTAAAAAATCAACTCTTGGTTTTCTCCCCTCAGCCTCACCGCCCTGATTCTGTGCTTTCAGTAGATGCCATCACCGCCCTTGGAGTCGCTCTCGCCAGAAATCCAGGTTACCCTCCACTCCCCTGTCCTCTACGCTCTCATCTGCTTAAGTGGCAGGTCCTGCCAATCATCCGGGACATACCCCCAGGCCTCTGTGTCCCCTCCTCCACCACAGCCTTGCCTTCCAAGCCAGGGCCCCACTTCCCCTGGACGGCCACTGAGCCCCACTGGCCCCTGGTTCTCACAGAGCCTCCGACTTTCTTCTCCATTCAGCCGCTGCTGATCTTACCACTGCACTGAAATGCTCCCTGCCCCGTCATTTCCCCGCTGACTGTGTGTCCTGCCTACCACTGGGGACCCTCAGGACCTGGCCCTGCCACTCCAGCCCACCTTCCCCTCACCCCTGGCCAAACTGGCCTCTCTCTGGTCCCTTCGCTCAGGGAGGCCTTTCTGGCTTCAGGTAGGCAGTCGATGTGCAGTTCCCTCGGCCTAAACTCCTGCCCCACGCTCTTCACCTGCCGGCTGCTCCCGGGTTTCCTGTCTCCCACCCGGTGAGCCCACCGCTGCTCTCTCGTTCCTCCCTGCTCCTTCCCTCCCCGGTGCTGGCGTTGCCTTATTCCTCCGCTGGTCTATTTTGTCTCTGGCCTGAGGGCAGGGACTGTGCTTGTTTCCTGGTGGCTCAGCAGCATCTCCTGGGTGAGCGTGTGGAGGAGGTGCTGGCTAAGCAGTGGCCACAGTGCAGAGGCCCTGGAGGCTGCGGGCCGAGGGGAGGACCTGCATTCGGCCCAGGCCACGAGGCTTCTGGCTTCCACGTGGGCAGTGTTGTAAGAGCACAGGTGCAGGAGGGGAGCAGCTGGGGCGGGGTGGTCAGAAGCCAGGTTTGTGCCACTGAAGTTGAGGTGCCCCTAACATTTCCTTCCCAGAAAGAACAGTGGGGACCCCACTGACACAGGGGAGTTCCTCCCTGCTCCTTCCCTCCCCGATGCTGGCATTGCCTTACTCCTCCTCTGGTCTATTTTGGCTCTGGCCTGAGGGCAGGGATTGTGCTTGTTTCCTGGTGGGTCAGCAGCATCTCCTGGGTGAGCGTGTGGAGGAGGTGCTGGCTGAACAGTGGCCACTGTGCAGAGGCCCTGGAGGCTGCGGGCCGAGGGGAGGGCCTGCGTTCGGCCCGGGCCACGAGGCTTCTGGCTTCCATGTGGGCAGTGTTGTAAGAGCACAGGTGCAGGAGGGGAGCAGCTGGGGCGGGGCGGTCAGAAGCCAGGTTTGTGCCACTGAAGTTGAGGTGCCCCTAACATTTCCTTCCCAGAAAGAACAGTGGGGACCCCACTGACACAGGGGATATACGCCTGGGTTATGACTGCAGCTGACAACTGTCACCCAGTGCGTCCTGTCCTACTTCCCACCTTAACCAGGGGTTAGGTCCTCAGCCTCCTGGGAGGGTGGCCGCTGCCAGAGAGCCCCGCCCAGCCATGGGCCCCGCCACAGCCCCCATTCCCTGCCTGTCTCCCTCCTTGCCCATGGGCCCAGGTCCTGTCTGCCCCCCCACCCTCCGCCCTCAGGTGCAGGGCTGCGTGGAATAGTGAGGCTGTGCCCCACGGGCGGAAGAGGCCAGGCAGGCCTGGGAGGCGGAGAATCCAGGCTCCTGGGGCCTGGAGTGTGGTGGAGAAGGTCTGGGGTGCTCTCGCTCTGGACCTCTCCGGGGGGTGCAGATGAGGAGGGCTGGAGCTGCCGCCCTGCCTCTGGGCTGTGGGCTGTGTGACTGGCAGTCTGAGGCGATGCGAGTGGAGGAGTCTCCTGCGCAGTGAGAATTAGGAAGATGAGCTGTGGTGGCTCGGGTCTCAGGACCCTCCGTTCACAAGTCGGTGGTGGTTGAGGCCGGAGAGGTAGGCTGTGCAGAGAGAGACAGGAGCCGTACAGCGGTGCCCTCCCCACCCCTGCCTGGCTCACTCTCGGACACCTGTGGCCTGTGTCCCACGGAAGGACGTCAGGAGTCCCGTGTGGGAATGGACAAGAGTTGGTTCCTGTGGTCGGAGGCTGTGAGCTCCCAGCCCAGCTGTGTGACTGCCCAGCGGTGAAGCCGGGGCCGAGGCCTCGCCTCGCTGAGCCTGCCTCCCCATCTGTATAATGGGTACAGTGAGCAGGTGAGAGGAGTGGCTGAGGCACTAATGGGGAACACTGACCAGGTGACAAAAGTAGAAATGTCAATTGTTACGAGCAGAGAAGAACAGTTGCCCAACCCGGGCCTCCTGTGTCCCCCCAGGTGCCCTGCAGGGCAGTGAGAGCTGGGCAAGATGAGAACCTGTGACAGAACCACAGGCAGGAAGGGGTGGGGCCTTGCACAGTCCAGGGCCTGCACCTTCCCCTTTCTCTGCCCCAGGCCCGGGGCGGGTGAAGGGCGTGATTCTCTCTGGGGGCGGGGGCACGTGGGTAAGGGGCCGTGAGGCGCTGGGCCTGTGAGTGAAGCCTCCTGCCTTGTGGGCAGGAAGTGAGAGGTGCAGAGCAGCTGGGGAGACTGGGGGGGCGGGGGGGGCAGAGCGGGAGGGTGAGAGTGTCTGGGGGTGAGGGGAGCGGAAGTCGGAAGCTCCAGCCACCACATTCGCCACTCACAGGGCAGACACACGGCAACGGGACCTGCTCCCTTGGAGGTGAGCGCGGTGGGCCTGCTTGGGGTGGGCCTGGGCCCCAGCGGGCCATGTGTGCCCTGGGGCAGTGGCTGGGGCCGGTGGGCAGAAGGAGGGCGCTGTGGTCTCTACCGGGCACCTGCCGTGAGCCTGGCCCGGGCTGTACCCCCACCTTTCACTTCCTTCTCTCTGTCCCCTCCTCTCTCACCCTTCCCCGGCCCATCAGGCCCTTGCTCCGCTTCCTGCCCCAGCCCCGCCAGAGCCCTTTGGGGTCTGCAGCAGTGAATTGCCTGACGTGACTGCTGTGGCTGGGTGCCCAGTGGCTGTTCTTGGGGCCTGAGGCCTCAAGGAAGCCTGACCCTGGATCTTTGAGGGAGAGAGGCCAGATGGGCCGGGGGTAGTTTGGGGTGTGGCCACTGCAGGAGCTCAGACTCTGCTCTAAGGGGGCTCCTAGCCCCACCCGGAGGGGCTGGTTACAGGCAGGGCCCTGACTTGCCGGTTTGCCAGGTCACCTGATGGGCAGCAGAAGCCATGCCTCTCAGTGTCCCTGTGCGGGCACTCAGGCCTTCCAGGTGTGGCTGTGTCTTCACGGTGAAGCCAGCCACGGAGGGCCTGCCCCTCACAGGGTCTGGTTCTAGAGCCTGAGATGCTGAAAGCTGGGCAGGGCCTCCCGCCCTGGGCCAGGATTAGTCCCCTCAGGGCCTTCTCCAGGTTTGAAGGACGGGCCGCAAATGGGCCTGTCACCCCAACCTCCTGGACATCTGCAAACAAGGAGCCGACCAGCTCGGGGCTCAGAGCCTGCTGAGCTGTTTGTGGAGTGAGGGGGGCGTCCCAGAGGGGTGAGGAGCCCAGCCTGGCCTGAGCCCTCCCCGTGCGCCTAGCCCTTCCCTGGGCCGCAGCTGCTCTGGGACCTGTTGGTGCTCTGCCCCATTCTCTGTCCTATCATCCCTCCTCTCTGCCTGAGTCCTGGCTGACCCTGACCCTGACCCCACCACAGGGTCCTCAGGCCCCCAGAGCCTCCCTCCTCCCCCCCTCCCTCCCTGCGCATTTGCATGAGGGCTCCTGGTGTGGCAGGAAGTGGGGCCTGCCCTGAACGTGGCCTGCTGGGTCCCCAGGTTCAGGTAGGGGTGTCAGTCCTGCCGCTCCAGACAGAGGGCTCACCCTGGGCTCCCGCCCTGAGGGCCGACATTTCTGACCCGGCTCCTGCACAGGGACAGCAGCCGGCACTTCCTCAATCCCTGCACAGGCCAGGAGCCTTTGCTTTTTCCATAGGAAGGAAACAACTTCCACAGTGAAAGGAAGGCATGTTTGCTGGGTGGACGCTTAAAAGGAGAGACACAGAGTCCAGGAGGAGATGCAGGGCTGGCTGGCTCGGAGGCCGCTGAGAGCGAGGTGCCCACCAGGCCGCTGTGCTGGGAGGGAGGCCGTTGGTGTGTTTCGCTTCTCTGAGTGGACCCTCCACGCAGCAGAGTGAAGGGGCAGGCAGGGCCCGGCACTGGCGCTGACCCGCTCCCATCCCGTAACAGGCCCGTGGAGCAGCGTCCTCCCTCTCATCCCCGTGTTCTGCAGACCAGGAAGCAGGTGGCTGGTCAGCTGCCGTTAGGGAGTGAGTCCAGTCTGTGGGCCTCAGGTGTGGGCGTGCAGGACGCTCAGGCCGTCACCTGCCCCAGTGCAGGCTGTCCGCAGCCTCTTGCAGGCAGAGGGTAAGCCGTGTGCCCAGCCGGGGGGAGAACAGCAAGCACAATCCTCAAAAGCACAGTTCAGCTCCCAGACTGGGTTCCCTCCTGTCCCAGCGTCACAAAGGAGCTGCCTGGACCCAGGCAGGTGGAACCCAGGTGGAGTGGAACCGGCAGTGGGGGTCTGTGTCCTGGTCCCCAGCTCAGCCCATCAGCTGGCACAGTTCTCCTCCAGAGACCCCTCGAGATGGGAATTGCCTGACGTGAATTTAGCTGACGAAGCCGGGGCTGCAGTGGACCCGTGCCCTCCCCCCTCGCTGTCTTCTGGGGCGTCAGCATTTTTCTGGATCCTTCTCCCAGAACTTATCCTCGAACTTCTGAGCCCTCACGGAGCTTAGAAAATGGGGGGCCACTGTATCTTAGGGGTGGCAAACCCCCCTTGTGAGACGTGTGGCAGACTTTCTCCCTCCTTTGTTCTGAGGATACCTGAGATGAGCTATTTCAAGAGATTTCACTAAACGCCAAGAGTGGAGAAAAAAGTAAACCAAGAAGATTCTAGATGCAGGAGACCAGGCCCGCCTCTGCCTGGGAGGTGCCCTCCTGCCCCCAGAACAGGCTGGTCGCCCCCTTGACCCTGGATCCTTAGCCCTTGCTGGGTCAGGACGGGTGGGACTGCCTTGGTGGCCGTAAGTCACCTCTCTCCTCAGGTCCTGCCACCCCTCCATTCAGGGAGGAGAAATTGAAAAAAGAAAAAAAAAGGTGGGGAGGGAGATAGAGATAGAGACTCAGACGGATAGAAAGGTGATAGATAAGATGATAGATAGATAGATAGATAGATAGATAGATAGATAGATAGATAGATGATAGATAATAGAGAGATAGATAGACTGGTAGTAATAGATAATAAGTAGATATTTCTTAACCCTCAATTGCCTGAAGGGTCCCCCAGTCTCCTCTCCGTCCAGCTGCTCCTGGGAAAAAGGGACACACATGAGCGTGTTGGCTGCTGGCCCCGCAGTGGCACCTAGGACTGCTCTGCCGCCTGGGCTTCCTGGGAGGAAGGTGCAGTTGGCTCAAGGGCAGCCTGGCCCTCAGGTCGGAAGGTCACGTGATGCTGAATCTCCTCTCAGCCCAGGCTCCCAGGCCCCCAGTGAGTTTGTTGAGCATCTGTCATCCCTGCCTCCCCATTCTCACAAACACCTCCCAGTGACACCTCAGCCCACAGCCTTGCTCTGACAGTGGGAGCAGAGAGTGAGTGACTGCTCACAGGGCTTTGTGACTGCAGGGTTTTGAAGAGAGCGATGGCAAGAGAGCGCAGACCCTTCCCCGCTGAGCTCCCTGCACGTTTTTGGAAGTTGGCACTTTAGCGTCTCCATTAGTAGAAGGAGACAGATGTGGCCGCTGTCCGGTTCCCGTAGCTGCCAGGAGCTCATGGTGAAGCAGGTGCGGTGGGTCATGTTGCGGGGTCCACACGTTCCTTGCACCCCCCAGGGGGGTGGGGGGGCAGGGTTGCCTGATGAAACCCAGGAAGCCCAGTTATGTTTGTGCTTCAGAGAAACAATGAATACTTTTTTGGTACAAGTATGTCCCAAATATTGGGAATGGGGGAATGGGTGTCCTATATATTTATTTGCTAAATGTGGCAGCCCTGCCACGCACAGCTGTGGCCCCAAGTGGAATTGCCGGCTGGAGCCAAGACCCCTCCCACCAGGCTCTGTAACCCCAAGTCTCACAGGGGGTCCTGGACTTCGTAATCGACACTAAGGTTGTTTCTAACCTGCTTGACCTGAAGCACAACCACACCCCCACCCCGAACTTTACAGGTGGGAGAGAGCATAACATCAGCGATCACCGAAGTGATTCGATCTAAGCGTAGAATTAACGTTGACCTACGTGGCTGCTCTGTGTACATACGCGCATTTATTTATAAGTACATGTTTGCAAAGATGGGTGTGGGACTCCTTCTTGTAAAAACTTGCAGGACACCCTCTTCCCTCACCCTGCCCGCCGTCTCCGTCCGCTGCTGGCGTGTGAACTCTTCCCGTCAAGCGGGTTCTCCCGTGACAGCGGAGGTGTGACGTCACTGGTGCCGCAGGAAGGCCCTGAGGCTGGTCATGTGCAGATGCAGGTGTGGGGTTTGGAGGGATGAGGACGCACCGGGAAGAGTCTGAGGCAAAGGAAAAAGAAGAGATGTGATGAGGCCAGGGGCGCATTTCATCCGGGAACTGGGTGTCATAGGGCCTGTGTTTAACCTTTCCCTTCCTGAGAGCCAGAACGAGGCGGAGACAGTCCAGCGATGAGTCTCACCGGCCAGGGCGTCACCTGGCCAAGCTGACGGCCGTAAACCAGCCCCCGCCGGCCAGTCTTGCAAAGGACGAGGCTCCAGAGACAGGAGACTCCGGGAGTGGGAGGAAGGCCGTGGATTTCTTTCCCAGGTGCCTGCTTCTCCCGTGACAGATTCTGTTCCATTTTCCTCGACTCTGGTCTGTGTTTCTCTGGCTGCCACCTGCTTTGGCTCACGTGCTGCTTTTGGCTCGCCACTGATTTCATGCTGTTCTGAGGCACTTCCATCTCCCGCTGCTGGTCGTCTCTCCATTCTCCGGTTGAGATCCCTGAGAGGCAGATCTGATTCAGCCAGTCCATCTCTTTCAGCTAAGCCACTCGGGCCCCTTCAGCCCACAGAGGGGTGTCTTTGGAGCAGGCGGCCGAGATGGTGGGGTCAGAGGGCTGTGGAAGGCAGTGTACCCCAGCCGGGACCATGGACATGGCCAGGACCCCCAAGTACCTCTGACACACTAGACAGGAGCTGGCAGCCCCTTGCTGACCTGCTGTGCTTTGGGTATTTCCAGGGCAGAGTGGATCTCCGTTGCCCCCCTGGCCAGCAGGCCCCCTGATCCACACAATGGGACTGTGACGGTGGACACTCCTGGGGACCCCCGCACACGTGCTCTCCGTGGATGATGGATGACAACACACTCTCTGAACACCCAGAACCCGTGGAATTTCTCAACGTCTGTTTGAGCGACAACCTGCAGCCCCACCCAGGAGTACAGCCCAGGGAAACGAGCGGCCGTCCTGACCTGCCTGGACCTTTGCAGGAACTGACCTGGGCGTCGGACCCTTCTGAGTCCACGGGGAGGCGAGATGCTCCTGCCGGGGGCTCTAGGGCCGAGCCCGAGGGCCTGGGGAGCGGGTCTTCCCAGGGGGGCCCACAGCAGAACCCCAGCTCGTCCACGCAGGTGGTGTTCTGGGCGGGCATCCTGCAGGCCCAGATGTGTGTCCTGGACCTGGAGGAGGAGCTGGAGAAGACTGAGGGGCTCCGGGCCGAGCTGAGGTCCTGCATCCCCACGGCCCCTGTGGACCTCCCCCCGTTCCCCTCCAGCCCGGCGGCCCCCCTGGACCCGGGCCCCCCCGCCAGCCCTCCCTCGGGGGAGGACAGCAGCAGGCCTGAGGGAGAGAGCCAGACCCAGGTGTCCCCCGGGGAGGGGACGCCAGACTCCTCCCCAGAGTGGGGTGCCGAGGAGGAGAGCCTGTTCTTTGACAACCCCCTCTTCCTGGAAAGCCCTTGCTCAGACACCAGCGCTCCCAGAGAGCGCTTCTCCTGGGGGCACCCCGACTCCTGTGCTGACAAGGACGACGATGGGAGGCCTGAGAGCCCGCAGAACCTGGAGCCTCCTCTCCTGCTGGGCAGGGTGCCGTGGGGGCTGGGCGATGAGCCAGACTCGGGGGACAGCGTGTCTGAGTCCAGCGGGCACACCACCCCTCCGTTCCCTGTGCCCACCTACAAACCACACTCCTTCTCCTGGGCCGAACCGGACAGCGCCCAACAGGCTCCCGCAGCACCTCCCAGCTGGGCGGGAAGCGAGGTAAGCCGGGCCTTGGGCACCCACCCAGAGCGGGGCCTGGGACACAGGACAGGCCTTACTCTGTGGTCGCCCGGCCCAGACACTCTCCATATGCCAGGGCCTTTGGGGACCCTGGAGAAAAATGACAGGAAGACAGGACCAGCGAGGCCTTTAGAATTATGGGAAAGTGGACAGATACTGCCATGGCCACTGAACGTCCGCACCATTACATCCACGTCTCCATCTTGCCAGCTCAGGGGCGTGGCTGGGCACAGGGGGGTGGGTTAGGGTGGGGGACCGGGGGGCCCCTCCAGGTGCAGCCTGTTCCTGCTCATCCTCAGACTGTACCCTCCCGCCTCCAACACACCCCAACCCCAGCCGTAGCTGCAGGGGTCAGCGGCAAGGCGCCCTCTGCCCCCAGGAGGTTTCTGTCCGAGCCTGTCCTCTCTCTGCTTAGAGGCTGCAGCATTTTGTTACTTTTAGCTCACCATCTCCCATTCCTCCTCCCGCCCAGTGTCAGCGGGTCAGGCCCACAGGACGTGGCAGCCGCGTTTGCTATCAGCTAGGACAGTTCTGGGGACAAGTGTGCGAGACAATAGGGGCACAGTTTTCCCAGGGCGGCCTCTGCTGAAGAGATAAGGCAGCTTCAGATGGCGGAGCAGGGCCGAGACTCTAATCTCAGAACCCAGAGAGCCGTGGAGGCCTGCTGCCCGGAGGGGATCCCCCACCCAGGCTGCCCCCCGCCCCCGTGTGGGCTGGCCTCCTGGCTCTGGGGCCCTGGGGGTCACTGAGGGGAGCCTGGGGCCCTGTCCTCGTCCTTGAGCTTGCAGGGTGCTCCCACCGGGCATGGCAGACCCTGCCCGTGGCCGCCTGGTGGCTGTCGCCCTCCCTATCACACAGCCCCTCCTTGGGCTGGTGCTGCGGGAGGCAAGGCCCCCTGGGGGACTGTGGAGGGGAGAGGACAGTCCGAGGAAACGACAAGTCAGTGGACATGGCCTGGGGCTCGGAGGGTATGGGAAGCCCTGGGGATTGCTTCCCCGGGTCAAACCGCTCTCCTCTCGTTTCTCCCCTAAGACTTCTCTGGCAGGCGGCCTTGGCCCTGCAGCATCCTCTGTGGACAAGGCACTGACCTGGGACACAGGGCATGTCAGATCTGACCCCAGCCCTGCCACCCATCCTGTGCATCCTCCGGCAAGTACCTCCCCTCCCTGTGCCTCCCTCCCCCCTCTGCGCAGGGCTCAGCACCCGCACTGCTAGGGTCCTCCCCTCCAGGATCCTCCCCTGGACGCAGGATCCCCGCTGGGTGGGCCAGCACAGCAGGGAGGGGCATGTCACTGTTAGTCATTCTCCTCCCTCTCCCTCCCCTTCCATTCTCAGGGCCTCCAGGGCTCATGGATACCCTGTGCCTCTCAGCAGGCCCTGCCCCGTCCTGAGGGCTGGCAGACAGAGCAGGGTCCTTCCTGGCCCCAGGCGCCTCTTACCTCCCAGGACAGAGGTGAGCCCCAGTGGGGGGCCCGGGACTTGGGGCAGTGGGAGGCTTTGCCATCTGGAGTGGGACAAAGGTCATTCTTGGATCCGTGGGTGTTATGAGGGCCCCCTTGTACCCTGTTCGATGGACCTGTGACATCATCCGGACCCTGGGTTTACGTACTCCCCTCACTGAGGAAATGTACGGGAGACCCCGGTTTCCATGCCTGGGTCCTAGTGGTGCACCTGTCCCGAGCCTGGCTGCCTTGGGGCGGGAGTCCCGGGAGCCCTGTGCCCTGCACGTGGGAGGACACCGCCCGGAGGAGGGACTGGACGTGCTGCCCAGCAGCAGGGAGGAG